CATCTTAATACTCATTCATTACCTTGGGCATAGTCATCAGATAGTGTCCAGCAGGCTACATTACTTACCTAGACCTTCCTCTCAACGCTGCTGCTCCTGAGCCTCACTGGAGAGACTCAGATCATCGGCCTTCATGCATCCAACCAACATTAGTTAAGTCTTCAGACTCGAGGCAGCGTGGCTTCTCTCTTGCCCTTGCCATCCTCATGCCGTGTGGACTTGATCTCTGGCTCTTGCCTCGCTCCCATCCTGTAACGGTGACCCCATCATTTCCAGCCCCATCACCATCTCCCCTCTGCTATGCAAGGCCAGGCAGAGCCCGGTCTTCCCTATGTGATGTGCAACAGCAGCTCCAAGTCCCATTTGCAGACCTTTGCCCTCCCTGAGCAGGAACCGTACAGACTGAAAATTCGAGCCAGCTTGTAACAGTCCTTCAGGTGTATTTCCACTGTTCTCCACTTCTCCAAGTTCTTTCCCTCTTCCTCCCAATTTCATGACTAGGCTGATGAGGCAAATTCTGTCAGGACCAGGAACTTGGAGCAGTTCAGAGGACTTTTTAAATTGGCATTTTTTTTACTTGCAATCTGGCACACCATGCCTGTGTACAAGTCATGCTAAACAAAGGTTGGCCAAAACTAGACAGTGAAGTTCCCAACTGCCTTTAAAAACAACAGCAGCAGCAACAACAAAGAAACCCTAATTGACTTTGCAGCCCTCACCTACAAAGAAGTTCGGGAAATGAGGTGGCTTCTGTTTCTCCACCCTCCGATTGCAGAACTGAAGATGTTTTGGTACAAATGCCACATCTAGCCCATAGCAAGGGAGTAGCCAGTACAGTTGCTGGGACACCTACAGCTGTTGCAGGAATTAGGAAGGAGGGAGGCAGCTATCAGAGTGGGATCTGAGCCACCTGGAGTTCTGCAGATCAAAGTCATCACACTTACTCCTTACCAAGAGGCTACTGGCACAGTCAGCCATACACGCTGGCTGTAACTTCGAAAGAGAGCTAGACATGTTGAAGGTGGATAGCACTACAGTCATCTGATTTCGAAGCCAAAAAATAAGTGACAGCTAATGCCCGTACCCGAGAGGCATGGACCCAGCCTTCTTACAAGGAGCCCACAGCAAGCATCCATGACTATAACGAAAAGTATGCAAGGAGCAGCAAGAGCCATCATAGCTGTCCCCCTGCCCTACAGTAAGAGCTGTAAGTGCAACCTGTAACCTGCACTGAGGCACACTCTGCCGTGCCACCGTACATGGGATGACAGTCCTTGTGTCCCTGAGGGTGCTTCTCTCTGCTCTGGCACACCAGGCACATCAGGAGCAACTGTGCCAGCACTCGGGCCAGCCCTTTCTTCCTGGCCACTCTGAGAATCCTGTGCACTAAATCAATGAGCCAGAGCATGGAGGAGCCCCCAAGTCAGAGGAACGTGTGTCTCAAAACCATCATGCCAGGAAAGGCTATTTACCTTTGTGAGCCTTGGCTAGGTTATTACCAACCATGGCAAACGGCTAGGGGACACAAATGCTAACCCTACAAAAAACAGCGTGAACAACTCACCCATGGTAAATCCAAGGAAAGAGAAGTCCCTCCAGACTAGCTGCTGCATGTACCCAAGCCACAATGAATGCTAAATGGTATCAGATCAGGCAAATCTCTGCATTGCTGGAGGCTCTTGCCTGCTCTCTCTCTCTTACAAACTATTACAGAAAGTAAACTTCTGATGCTGCCTGTTCTGCTCTATCGCCTGTGTGACCTAGCTCAAGGTTAGTTTCAAAAAGCGAAACACTGAGTGACAGAGCATTTATCATTAATAAACTCACAGGACAAAAATGGTGCTGGCTTCCCAGAACCAGTGCATAAACTCACAGGACAAAAATGGTGCTGGCTTCCCAGAACCAGTGCACTAGGAGGACAAGGGAAGTACACAAGTACCGTGAGTAAAGACCTACTCTTAGCATAGCTTCCCAGTTGTTTGTCATACCAATAGCACCGTGCAACTAATACAGTTTTTTTCTTCATCAATTATTAACTGGACAAAGACTATTTGTTTGACGAGCTGCATAGAAAGTCCAGAGAGGAAGCGAGCAGTTTCAAGCTCCATGTGCACACCCTGCGATAGGCTTGAGACCCTCTCCAGATCAGATATACCTCGTTCTTCAGGGGCCGACAGGTCAGCTTCCAGCAGCTGGGATGGAGGCAGGCCCAGGTGCTTGCTGCAACCGGGCACGGGTCTTCCAGGCAGAAGCCCATCTGTCACCCAGGGCCCCATCGCCTTCAGATGCAGGGGCAAGGCTGCGGTCAGCAGAAGGTATCTGAAGGCTGTTGAGCAGTACCGGGGCCGTGCCTGAGGCTCTCCTCTCGGGGATCAGCACGTAGACCACACCGCATGCTAGTTATGTCAGCATCTGCCAACCAAACTCCCCATGCAGCTTTTGCACTGTTCATGGGAACCAGCTTCTACCAGCCACACTCCTCTTCCACCATCTTTCCTCCACCTAGTTCACTTTTACTGCCAGACCACACAAGAAAACGCGTTGCACAAAGCCAACAGCAGAGAAGGTACGTCGATGTAAGCCTTGAGGTATCCTGCAGCTTTTGTTTGGCAGGAACTTTTCCAACATGAATTAGGAAACGTCTCTCCTGAACATTGAGGCGTGTCAAGACAGCTGAAGGTTCAGTTGGTCGGCAGCAATATTCCATCCCTGATTTGGAAGAGAGCTGGAACGGTTTCAGATGAAGAAGAGCACCAAGCTTGCTCCCAAGGAGAGCTCAAAGGTGAAACACGAGGCTTACACCATAAGCAGCGCTGACAAAGCAGTGTCCCTCAACAAAACCACTGGCTTCAGAAATTTCCAAGATTGCTGACTGATCCTCAAGGGGTACGAGAGCTTAAACTTCATAGCAGGATGATCTGTGTGTACATCGAGACTTTGCTGAGGGGTCACGTTCCTCTCCCATGCAACACATCGCATGCTCTGCCAAAACCAACCATTACCACCACCAAGCCAGGCCTGAGATTTAGGAAATCCATACCTCTTCAACATCCCCCTCAAGCCTCACTCAAAACACACATAGGCTCTCCTTGAGGGAGAAGGGGCCAAGCCTCACAGGAAAAACAAAAGCTAATCCAAGCTTTTTGTTAAGCTACACTGATTAGAAAGAAGTTTGCAGGGACAGAGGGACGCAAGATGGGGGAGGGCTCCACAAGAGACAAAGACAGCTAGAAGCCACGGAGGTAGGTCACATCAGGTGTTTGCCAACATTAATCTGTGCATCCATGTACTTGCAGGGGTGACTCGTTCAATGAATGAGGAATGATAAAGAGGGGTGCCTAAGCACACGGTGGGCATGTCAAGGGTCAAGAAGAGGGAAGTAGCTGCATTTGAGTGGTCATCTAGAACCAGCACCTCAACTTTTGCAAGTAAAACCAGCTCCACTGACAGTTTCTTGAAAAAACTTGGGGTTTATTGATTTAAACTGCAAACAGTCGTTACAAAAGAGATTCTCTTTTAAATAAACTCACACAAAGAGGAAGAAAAAGCAATGTAGTGAACAGTAACAGGGGAAAAAAGAATTACATTCATTATTCTCTTTGTGCCAGTCCCGTTCACCTTGGCAAGGAAAACTCCAGACTTGGAATACAGAAATGAAAAGACAAACTGTATTTGGAATGTCTTCAGATAGGCACTTTGAGCCCAAGGCTTCTCTCCTTGAGGAATCTATACAAAAAGAGGAAGAAAAAGGTCTTCCTTCCACACTGTCTCGCAACAGAGCTCAGGTACGTACATTCTAAAGCCCAGGTAGGCAAGACCCAGGGGAGGGGAAGAGGAGGAGAAGAGGAAAGGCAAAGAAGCACATTAACTCAATTTGCAGTCCAACACAAAAAAAAAAAGGGGGGGGAAGGGAATTCTAAAATAAATAATCCAAACACAGTTTTTGCATTTTTTTAAATTAATTTTTCATTTTTTAAAATAAAATAACCAAAAAAGTGTAAAGTTACAAAAAAATGTCGTAGTATAATATATTAAACTGTGGGGAAAAAAGGAAAAAAGACACTTCACAATCTTAAGATTAATATGGAAGATCATAATTTAAACATAAAAGAATATATTCTATGGATTCATCATCCCGATAAATATGAACAAAATTAACAAAAAAGCATAGGTTTCGGCAATAAATACGTTTTGATAAGTTAAATAAGCTTTTTTATATTGTTGTGCAGTGACAAGCAAAATTTGCTCTCCAATTTCTGAAAAGTTATACAAAATTAAAAACCCAGAAAAAAATAATAAAAAGCTTGGCGTGAGTGCTCTAAGATAGGTCTAAAGTACTCTAGAGCAAAACCATTAAAGCTATGTCTACTGGAACTTTGTTTACACGAACTTGTGTGTGTGGAATGACTTCCGTCAGCCCCACCCCCTCTATTTCTTTATTTGTTTTAAGATGTCACACGAATACACGGGGAATTTTTAGCACCAAAATCAAGTCTCTCATAGTCCATCTGGTTTTTGTTTTCTGTGGTTTTTTTTTTTTTTGCTTTGTTTTCTTCCTCCCAGTCGAAGTCCCACTCATGTTACAATCTTTGTCCGTTCTCAGCTTTTCTTCCTGCAGACCTGAGCGGATCCAGGCAAGATTAGTCTTTAAGGGGAGAGGAGAAAGAGGACTGGATGTTAACGCTTGCCCACATGCCTGCAGCCTAGCGGAAACTGGCCAGTCGGGAAGAGACTGGGAGAGGGCGATGCAGTACGTGGCCAGTGGAGGGAGCTGGATCCCGACATTTCCCGCACATCTGGAAGTGCACAGAGCTGCTGGTGCCCTCTGCAGCTGGAGAGGTAAATACAGTCACAGTGAAAGTGTTAAAGGCACTAATTTTGTAAACGTTATTGCTTTTCATCGTAATTTGGCACTTAAGGTTTAAGCCAGTGGGTCTACCGCAGGCAGGGGGACACGTTAACATCCAGCTCGGACTACTGGGGACAGGGTGGGGGAGTTCAGCTTAACATCGTAATAGAGGTGGGGGGGAGCAAGAGGAAACCCCGGATTAGTCGTCAGAGATGGAGAGTCTGCTGAAGATGGGAAGACGTCTTGAGGTGTCCAGGATAGGGGAATCTGAGCCGCTGTGGCTGCTGCTGGAGCTGCTCAGATAGCCCTCCTGGTCAGAGAGGGAGTCCTGAGGACTGGGCGGCGAGTCAAACATATTGGGGGACTCGGACATGGGCCTGAACAAGAAGGTGGTTGGGGAGCTCCCGCTGGGCACCTGCATTCCCATGCTGGGGGCAAAGAGACTGACCAGCTCCTGGCTGGAGAAGGTGAAGGGATTGCTGCCGCAGTCAGGCAAGGTGGGGGAGCCCAGCAGGTCGTCGGCGCTCAGCATGGGTGGCGGGGTGATGGAAGTGGGGCTGTCCA